GTCAATTTTACTCTAACTCTAAGTATATAATTTTCAACTCTAACCCTACTTCAACTCGAGGTACTCAACCCGAATAATGCCCGAGTTTAATTTGGACGGACTCGGTTTGAATTCGGGTTAAAAATCGGGTTGAACTTTGGTTACTTAATTCGAGTTGATTTTTTGAAGTGCAGATTTGATTTTTTTTTAGTGTAGATCTGATTTTTTCAAGTGATTTGAGATGAAAGGTGAGGCGTAGATGAAGAGAGAGGGAGTTAGAGAAGGAGGCTGAGAGACTAAGATGACTTAGACAAGTGACAACTGAGAGAGAGAAGAGTGACGAGTGACAGAGGAATCTGAGAGTGATAAAGGCACAAGAATGAAGACTTGAAGTGAAGTGAAAGTCTAAACTCTAGTTAAATATATTTATATATTTATGTATATTTGGGTTGAACTCAACAACCCGAGATTTGTCCAAATTCAATTTGGGTTGGAGTTTTTTTGCCCACGCCCAATCCAAGTCTTATTTTTTTTTGGATTAGACTCGGGTTGAATTCGTGTTGACCCGTCCAAATTGCACCCCTATAGTCTCTTACTAGGGAACAAGGAGCGAGCCCAGGTACCTGCGGTTCCCATCTGTGCACCAAAAATAAAATGATCATATGAACCAATATCACACTGATACGCTAAAAGTGGTTGTTATTTTTTTTGGTTTTTTTTGTTGGCTTGTCCTAAGCATCATTTACCCGGGGGGGAATGGCTCAGTTTTGGTGGTGTGCACCTTCAAGAGCACTAAACCAAACTATGAAGTGTAGACCAAGTATAGAGAGAGAAAGGGGTCGTTTGGTTTGTATTTTTGTTTTTATTTTCATTTTTTTGTAAAAATCAAAAATAAAAACATGTTTGAGTTTGGATTTGTATTTCTGTTTTATATAAAATAAGTTGTTTTATAAACAAAGTACAAAAACAAGAAACAAAAAAAAAATATTCTAAAAAACAAGGAAAAATAGAAACAACGAGCGTTGAGACTTATTAGGACATGAAAATTGTGATTAACCCCAAAAGAAACAAATGGGGGGAACTATCAACTTACACGACTTCTCAAATTCAATTCAATGCAGATATCACCCAAAAAAAAGAAAAAATGAATTTGAAAATTGCATAGAAGGGGATTGATTTTTCTGAGGCCAATTCGTTTGGTTATGGAAAAGCCCAAAATGCAACCAACCAGGCCCAAAAATTTATTCTACTACAAGTGACCGACCACAGTCGAAGTCAAACGCGCTAATCCACTGCGCTATGCGGTCTCTTACCATCTTTGTCAAGAATAAGCTATATGACTTAATTTGAGGTATTATTTAAACTAACTAAATTGTAAGCTGTGAAAGAATTTTTTAAAGTCTGACCTTGACCCCAAAAATTGTAACTAATCTCTATTTACTTAGAACTTCTCATATGTCTCTATCGATATTAGAAGTCTTACACATTTAAATTGGGCTATTTTGGAATATTTCTTAGGTTGGATAGTGCGGTAAGGATGGTGTTTCAATCATTAACTTACTACACTCGAACAAATGAATTTCATTTGGTACCTATTGAAAGTTCGTTTTGAGTGATTTTTTAGTTTCTTTTTTTACTTTTTTGTGTAAAATAAAAAAATTATTACATGTATGTATAAATTATGCATAATAATTTTTAAAATATAAATTTTAAATTTTGTTATGTCAATAATAATATTTTTTGGATATAATAAAATATAAGTTATGTAGGACTTGTAACAAAAAGCCAAAAATTGAAAGAAAAATTTATAAAATTATTTTCTTGAATCAGCCTAAATAAATTTTTTTTGTTCAAAAAACTGCTGCATAAGTTCGACCAAAAGCCAAGGTCCAAACGGACCTCACTTAGTTTACCCCCAAAGCCTATAAAATCAACTTATTTAGCCAACTCCAAAAAGGTATATTATCTTATTAATAGTAATGAATACAAATAATGAATTCAATATTTTAAATCATATTACTCAAAAAAATTATGAAAATGTTACATAACTCAAATGAAACCCAAAAATTAAAACACAAATGCATATCATCCCTTGGATGAGTGTAAAATGAGTGGATCCCACTAAAAAAAATTAATGAAATTCACTCCTCAAAAAGATGATATGCATTTAATTTTTAATTTATTAAATTTTATTTAAGTAATGTAGCAATGCTCAAAAATTATATGGGGGCAGTTGTAGGAGCAACTTTACTGTCGTTAGTTACTAGGAAGGAAAATGTTATTTGAATCTAAAAAATTGACATAATTTGCTGATCTAATGACTTGGTTTCATTGGAACTATTAGATAAACACCAAGTTCCAATGTTTGATGGAGTCCACAGTTAATCTAAAGGTCATAGTGAATTAGGTCAATAAATTATATCTCAATAACCTCGTAGAAAGCACACTTCATTACATTAGAGATTTATATCTTTGACCCGACTTGGGAATTGGATTTGGCTATGGTATTGAAAAAATAATAATTTGGTATCATACTTTTATTTATCATATTTGTAGTCATTTTTACTATACTAGCAATGTATCACGTGCGTTGCACGTAAATAATTTTTGTACATAAAAATTAATAAAACATATTAGATATATGTGTATTTAAATTAAATATCACCTTAAATTTGCCAAATTTAATTTTCATTACTCATATTCTATTATAAGATTATGAAAATTTTATATGTTCACAAAATTTTGTGTTCTAACTATAAAAAAAAATAGTTAAAGTTTTATTATTTTTTAAAATTTTGTGATTGAGATTGATTTTTAGTGGTATTTTAGAAATTAATTTTTTTTGAAAATTATTTGATTGAGATTCCACTTATAATTTTTTGAATAAAATAAAAGTAATTGACAATATATTAATCATATTGAAACCTTAATGTAATTAGAAATTAGTTAGGTTAATTGAGATAAGATTTAATATACTACTCTATAATATATATTATCAAGCATATTAAAATTTTGTGATTGAGATTGATTTTTAGTGATATTTTAGAAATTAAATTATTTTTGAAAATTATTTGATTATAATTCCACTTATAATTCTTTGAATAAACTAAAAGTAATTATTAATATATTAAATCATATTAGAACCCTACTGTAATTAGAAAATTAGTTAAGCTAATTGAGATAAGATTTAATATACTACTCTATAATATATATTATCTAAGTATATTAAAAAATTTTAAAAATAATTTTTTACTTAAAAATATGCTACAATATCTATTTTCACATAAAATCTTAGTGCAACTTAGAAAGTGTATTATGATTGACTAATTATACTCATTTAACATAAATTGATTTTAAAAAACTATATATACTATTATTTTTTATCTTAGAAATGAAAGAATTAAACTTTTCAATGAAAAAGAAAATATACATAAATAGATATAAATTTATTTTTGCATATGAGATGAGTAGTATTAGATTGATGAAGTTTTTGAAATTTTTTTGAACATTTTATTGAAAATATAATTATGAATATTTTTAAGGGTAATATATTCAATTAATTTTTTTTTATAGAAACTGATATTTATACATAGAGAATAGATAATTAAAAATGATGTTATAAATAATTTAGAGATTTAAATACATAAGGATATGATAATAATTTATATATTTAATTGTGAAAGGATAGAGTAATCTCTGTAATCATTTATAAAAGTAAAATAAAGATTCAAAAGTTTTTCATGTTAAGGTACACTTATTAGTTACATTATTCATATATAGATTTGTGGGTCTTTTTGTCACTATTGTGGTACCCCAAAAATGATAAAAATTGTTATCACGATAATGATAAAAACATTCATAAAATGTAATAAAAATATTCACAAATATAATAAAAACACCCAATAAATATAATAAAAAAAATTTGTAACAAAAAAAAGTAATAAAAATAGTTATCATAAATATGACAAAAGCACTCGCAATAGTGATAAAAATATCTAGAAAAGTGATAAATCATTCACAAAAATAATAAATTTTTTAGCTATAAAATAGCCCATAAAAATTATAAATATACTCATTTAAAATAATAAAAATTAAAAATACGATACCAAATTTATTTTTTTAGTACTGTACTCAAGTCCCTGGGAAATTTCATGTGGAAGTCCTCCCAAGTTGTTGTATGAGTAACTTTATTGCCGCAAAGGTTGGTAGAAAAAGCCTCCTCAAAGCATACCTCAATAAATGAGAAATTTATATCATTGACCCTCATTGTAAAAGTTTTAATGGGAATTATATATGGAAGTCCTCTCAAGCAGTAGTATTTTTTTCTTTTAAGATTAACTTTTTAAGCTATTTAATCTCAAACGGTTGTATGAGTGACGTCTTTGCCCGGAGTTACTAGAAAATCTCGTTTTGGAATAAAGCACCACAATGATAAAGATTAATGTAATTTTATTTAAAAGTATAAAATTTATTTAAAAAGAGTATGTTATCCCAAAAATATTATCTTCTCTAAATGACTCTCAAATATCAAATAACTCAACTAAGACAATCCACTAATCTATATGTATTTCTTTTTCTTCCTCCCGTAACCTCTCTCCCCTCTATTCACTTTAATTTTAAATTATAAAATTAAAAAATTAAACAATAATATATTATTATTTAAAATATAAATATTACACAATTAATACTCATTTTTTGGTAATGTAGAGTGTCGTCAGATACAAAATTATTACTAGTATCTCAATAAATTAGAAACAATTATACTTTTCAATTTAATTTATTAACATAATTTATTAATTTAATCCATCAGTCACCAGATCAGTAACCGGTGTCTCCGTGAATTTAACAACAAATATCCATCAGCCACTTGACCAGTAGTAGGATCCACCGTGATGAATTCCACTATAAATATTAATTAGATCATTAAATTAGAATGACTAATGATCTAGTCCAAATAACACTGATCTATTAAGGATTCATATCATTGACCAAACAGACAAGACAATTGGTGAGGAAAAGGGCTGAAACATTTAAAAAAGAACTGAGCCTGCCTTGAAACAATTTACCGAAAACATATCGACCAAAACAAAAACACACGAGGCGTTTGACAAAATTTGAACTCAAAAATTCTAAATTTACTGTCGCTCAATGTTACCGCTTGATTTATATAGGTTGTCGATTTGGTTCTCAGTCCATTGCTTCCCTCCCTTACAGCCACAGATCTCCATATATATGCCCTTTTCGTCTCTCTTCTCTTCCATAAACTCTCAACCCAACACTCCAACTATTCAGTAATACTAAAAATCTACACGGAGAGAGAGGAACTTGTGGGCAGATTCAGTCAAATACCTTTGCGAAGAAAAGCTATGAGAGGTGTTCTCTTTTCTTCATCAAGGCCTTCATCGCCCTCACACTCTTTCGCTCCTTCTTCCCCTCTCACTCCTCTACACACCTTATCTGCGTCGATGATGGAGGAAAACATTGAGAACGCTGAATCCGTCATCATGAAATGGGACCTCGAAACTTCCTCCTACTCCAAAGTTGCCCCTCTCTTCAGCGACAACGGTAGAGACGCCAAGGAGTTTCTAAAGGCGGTGAAGGACCTTCGAAATGCGATGCATTTCTTCGTTAAGGAGGATTCGAGCTCTGAAAAGCTTATTCGTTGTCAGAACTTGATGCAAATCGCCATGAAGAGGCTTGAGAAAGAGTTTCACCAGATTTTGTCGGCTAATCGGAACTTTCTCGATACTGAGTCTGTTTCAAGCCGATCGTCGCCAGCATCGAGAAGGCCGAGTGGTTCTGATGATGAAGATGGTGCCTCAGATGCGACTCAGGTGGCTGGAAATTCTCTCTCCGAAGATGAACATGTTTCGGAGATTGTGATGGCGAATTTGAAAGCGATTGCTGATTGTATGATATCTTCTGGTTATGGAAAGGAGTGTGTGAAGATTTACAAAATTATTCGCAAATCGATTGTTGATGAGAGCTTGTACCATCTCGGAGTTGAGAAAGTGAGCTTATCAAAGATTCAGAAGTTGGATTGTGATGTGGTTGAGCTCAAAATTAAGAAATGGTTGAACGCGGTGAAAATCGCAGTGAAAACTCTCTTCTACGGAGAGAAAATTCTCTGCGATCAAGTCTTCAACTCCTATGAGAAAATCAGAGAGTCTTGTTTCGCTGAGATTTCGAAAGAACAAGCTCTCACTCTGTTTGGATTTCCGGAAATTGTAGCAAAATGCAAGAAATCTCCCGAGAAAATGTTCCGGATTTTGGACCTTTACGAGTCTATGTCGGAACTCTGGCCTGAAATTGAATCAATCTTTTCAATCGAATCACTCTCTTCCGTACGATCACAGGCGGTGAACTCACTCCTCCAGCTCGCCGAGGCCGTCCGTACATTGTTGTCGGACTTCGAGACGGCGATCCAGAAGGACTCATCGAAATCGGCTGTCCCCGGCGGCGGAATCCATCCGCTAAATCGCTACGTCATAAACTACGTCGTTTTCCTCTGCGATTACAGTGGACCTCTCTCCGACATAGTCGCCGACTGGCCGTTGCCCGTACAATCACCCTTGCCGGAATCTTACTTATCGAGCCCCATCTCCGACGGAGGTCCAACATCGGAAATTTCCGTCCGACTGGCGTGGCTTATCCTTGTTCTTCTCTGTAAACTCGACGTCAATGCCCAGCTCTACAAGGACGTGTCTCTATCGTACCTATTCCTAGCTAACAACCTAAACTACGTCGTTTCGAAGGTACGAACATCGACTCTGGCACTGCTATTGGGCACAGACTGGTTGGAGAAACACGAGATGAAGGTGAATCAATACGCAGCGAACTATGAGAGAATGGGGTGGAGCAAGATGATGGCGTCACTACCCTCTCATCCAACGGCTGAGATTTCATTCGACGCTGCAAAGGAGTGGATCAAGAAATTCAATTCGGGTTTTGACGAAGAGTACCGGAAACAGCGTTCCTGGGTCATACCCGACCTGAAAATGCGCCATGAGATCAGGGTTTCGGTGGCAAACCAGATTGTACCGGTGTATCGGGTTTTTTACGAGAAACATCGGGAAATGTTTCGGAGGGATATGGGAGTTGAGTCGAAAAGCGGAATTGCCCCTGAAAATTTGGAGAATTACGTCTGGGATTTGTTTGAAGGTGCCCGAGTTTCGGGGAGTGCGACGTTGTAATTCGTACACGTCATCGTCGTCGTCTTCTTCTTAGAATGATGGAAGAGGTCATTCAGACGTGACGTCATGGGTCTTTGTTGGCCGGCCTTGACTTGGTTGTATTTACTTGCATGTCATTGACACGTGACTAAATAGGGATAGGCTGTGCATGAACTATGAAGCAAATGCGGTAAAAGAAAGAGCAATGTTACGTGAAGTTAAAAATTAGATTTGATAATTTTAATAATTAATTTTATTGTGAATTTTAATAAATATTAAAATTTATTATCTATTCAATGGTTGAGATTATTAAGTCTAATTTTTAAGTCTATGTAGTCAAGTCCATCTAATATTACTCTAAAAGAAATAACATGATTATTTGGATCTAAAATTTAATTTAATTTATTGATATAATGATATAATTTTATAAGAATTATTGAATCAATATTAAATTTTAATATTTAATAATATTACAGTGATCAAATTTTAGGACCAAATTAAGAGTCTAAATGACATGACAGTTAACTTGAATTTCTTTATTTGGTTCTATGTCATTTAGACTCCAATAAAGACTCTAAATAATATGTTGTCATGTCATTTGAATTCTTAATTTAGCTTCAAAATTTGGTCAATATAGTATTATTGTTTAATATTTGATAGGGTCTATAATGAAATCAAATGTTACAGTGAATTAAGTTAACAAATTATGTCAATAAATTATGTCTCAATAACAAAAAATTATTCTTTCATTTTTCAAAGCAAATGAAGACTTTTTAATGTAAACATTATTTGGGACCAATTGAAAAATTATTTCTTTTAATACAACCCCTTTTATTATTGAGTAAATTTGAAAGCTAGTATAAAAATTTAGACTTATTTAAGATAAATCATATTAAGAAAATTTATTTGGCTTTGAAAAAAGATTAAAATATCATTTATTACTCTATTACTCTCTCTCCTCTCTCTTAATTACCCTCTCACTCTTACACTCTCTCTCTCTTCCCTATTCTCTCTTTATCTCTTTATCTCTCTTTCTCCCTTTATTACCTTATTCTCTTCCTTTTCTCTGTGTCCTTATATCAACGTAATAACAATACAATTACACTAATTAGTTACACAAATTAGTTGTATTTACTCTATAATATACCAAACAGTTAGTCATGTATTCTAATAAAACTAAATAGTTACACTAAACAATTATACGAAATTAGAACACCAACCCAATTTGTCATTCAGTTATATACATAAATCAAAAAATTACACAATTTAGTATTATGACATGATTACACCAATATTACACCAAATTGAGTTTATTATTACACAAAATACTTTACCATTATACTAAATTTGGTATATATAATTTGTGTAATAATATCGCGATACTAAATGGTGTAACTTTTAGTTTATATAAACAACTGAATGACAAATTGGATTAATGTCATAATTTTGTGTAATTGTTTGGTTTTATTAGAACGGGAGTAACTATTTGGTATATTATATGACAATTGTAACTGATTAATGTAATTGTATTGTTGTAATATTGATATAAAGAGAGAGAAAAAAAATAGGGGGAGAAAGATGAAAAAATAAATCAAATATTTACATATTTGAAAAGAAAATAAATTATCAAATGATAGATAGAGAGAGAAAATAAGGGAGAGATGAGGAAAGTAATGGGGAGAGATAGAAAGATGAAAAGAAAATAGGGGAAAGATAGTGAGAGATTCTAATGAAGATTTGATTTAAAGGAGAGTATTTTGGTAAAAAGTTGTGATTTCATTTGAATTTTGTACATAATATATTTTATTAAAATTGAATTTAATAGCGTAAACTACTTATTCATACACTTTTTTAAATAAATTTAAAAAATTATATCACAGCCAAAAAATCCTAAATTTTATAGGGCCAAGTTTTTGCTTAAGGCCCCATTTCAGTTGGGCCGCCCTGACTTCCACATGTAGCTAGACCCAACCAAACAAAAAGAAAAGGAAATCAATTGGATTCATGACACAGTGGAAAGTAAAACCAATTATAGATTAAATCTCTAGCCTAGTAATCTTGATGGATGGTCTAGTAGTTAAACCTGTCTTTTTACGAGTAAAAAGTCTTAGGTTCGATACTTCCCACATTCTCTAGGGCCAACCACCTTATTTTTCAGAAGACATATTCTTAAACTAGTTCGATTATAGCAATCGACTTATAACTCAAGAGAGTGGTTGGCACAATAATCAACCAAAAAAATCCCGGGTCCAGTTGCACAGGCATGGGACTTCAGTTTGGAGGGTGTCAAGTGGTTTAATTCTGCTTTTTGAATCAATGGGTGTCGTCTGTACATCCGAATGGGAGAATAAGCATCATCCTTGTTATTGG